TCTCCTCTCCTCTCCTCTCCTCCTCTCCTCCTCTCCTCCTCTCCTCCTCTCCTCTCTTCTCGTCTCCTCTCCTCTCCTCTCCCCTCTTCTCTTCTCTTCTTCTCTCCTCTCTTCTCTTCTCGTCTCGTCTCGTCTCCTCTCCTCTCCTCTCTTCTCGTCTCCTCTGCTCTTTCTCTCCTCTTCTCTCCTCTCCTCTCCTCTCCTCTCCTCTCTTCTCTCCTCCTCTTCTCTTCTCTCCTCTCCTCTCCTCTCCTCTCCTCTCCTCTCCTCTCTTCCTCTCTTCCTCTCCTCCTCTTCTCCTCTCCTCCTCTCTTCCTCTGCTCTCGCCTCGCCTCTCCTCGCCTCTCCTCGCCTCTCCTCGCCTCCTCTCCTCTCCTCTCCTCTCCTGTCCTCTCCTCTCCTGTCCTCTCCTCTTCTCTCCTCTCCTCTCCTCTCCCCTCTTCTCTTCTCTTCTTCTCTCCTCTCTTCTCTTCTCTTCTCTTCTTCTCTCCTCTCTTCTCTTCTCTTCTCTTCTCTTCTCTTCTCTTCTCTTCTCTTCTCTTCTCGTCTCTCTCATCTCCTTCCTCCTTTCTTCTTATTCTAGTTCGAATTCCTTTTTGGAAACCTCACATGGAACTGGCCCCCTGTTCTGGGGGGGCAACAGTCGGTGCCTTTTGCCGTCAAGCATTAGGGGGTGAGAAAGACGAAACTGCCCTGGAGGCACTGACCCCCTCGCAGGGTGTTGGAACAGACCAGCGTTAGTCGTGAATATGCAAGGGGTCGGCCAGTCACTCCACTTTCAGCCAGGAGACCAGTCACTTACCCAGATGCTGAAAGGGGGCGAAAAAAGTATGTTTCTCCATAAATTAGAAAAAATATTCATAATTTGTTCATCATTCAATACAGACCATGCAGCCTTATGAATTGGATAGCCTTCAATATTACACAAATGCAAAACACTTAAACTATGAATTATATTCAGTACTGGCATTTTTATTGAAATCCTTCGGTCTTTTAAAAAAAAAAATAGAATAGGCGAATACCAAGAAAGTGCTCTTATTTTGAAGTTTTTTTTCCACAATTTATTCAAAATTCTATAACCTAAAAACAAAAAAAATTGATTGAAAAGAGATTTTAAGGATAAAACATCTAAAGAACAAGGAAACCTATGCACCCTTTTTTTTTTTTTTTTTTTTTTAAAACCTATGCACCCTTACTGGGTGCTCTACATGTTTTTGGGCACCCGGTCCAAGTTGGATCCTATACGTTTCCCCTTGAGTTAGGTCACTTGCAGAAAGGGCTTTCCTTAACCCAAAAAAAAAAGAAAAAAAAAAAAGGAGTTAAGGTCACTGCTGCTCACTGGTCTTAAATAAAGGCACTTTTTTTTCCAGTCAACCTGCACATCAACCAGCGAAGCGGAAAGGTAGTGTTCAAGAGCAAGAAGCTGATGCTCTACCATCGAGCATTGCTCAGTCGGTATGCCCAGGAACTGTTAAAACAGACCTGAGTTTGACTCCATGGAACTCGGTGAATGAAATTCTTGCAGTACTTGGAGATAGTCAGTTCCACGATGATATCTCAAGGTTGTTGCCATTTTATCTATGAAGATGAAAAAAGGGAAAGAAGCGACTCCGCTGCTCTGACTCTGCTGCTCTGTCTCTCTCCATTGGGAATCGCGAAATGTGGCTCAATGTGAGATAAAATGAGGGCATACGCCGTCTAGGACTTTTGGGAAGGGAATTGACCCCAGTGCTAAGCCAGATTCATCCAGGAAACTCCTAGTGTGAATACGCCCAGAGGAGCAGGAGACCAAGAGACAGGTACGAGCGCGTGGCGGAGAGTGCCGAGTGAGGGTGTCGGCAGAGCCTCAGAAACAGAAAGACTGCGACAGTGATCCTTACTGACTTTTGGAAAGGCAGTTAACCAAACTCGTTAGTTTCTGTACTGGTGATAATGGAGTTATAAGCTGAGTTGCCTGACTTTTTTTTTTTTTCCCCTGTTTTCCTTTTTTTTTTTTCAAACAAAGACTTCTGCAGGAAGTAGTAGGGGAGGTGATACGAGATTTCCCCCATACTGGGCCCTACTAAGTCGCTCGATCTATGGGTGAGGAGTTGCACCTGCTGGAAAATAGGTCCAGCATCCCTCGTGAGCATTTGAATTTCGGGAGCACAATTGAGGATAATGATGATGAAAAAAAACGGGGTCTCATTCTGTCTAAACCAGCCGCCCTTCACCCTTCCCTGGGTGCCAAAAAAAACAGGGTCTCATTCCGTCTAAACCGGCCGCCCTTCACCCTTCCCTGGGCGCCTGATGTTACTATAAGCTGAGTTGCATTTCATGACAAAGGCAGAACAATTCCTGAAGAGGAACACATTTGCCCGTCCCTCATGGCCAGACTCTCTCTCTCTCTCTCTCTCTCTCTCTCTCTCTCTCTCTCTCTCTCTCTCTCTCTCTCTCTCTCTCTCTCTCTCTCTGCCCTTTTCGAACTCACCTTGGTGCTTACTCCTGCCTTTCCCTTCCTCCAGTGAAAGTTGAGGATCCAGTCAATTTCCCGGACAGTGGATCTTTGTGGCAGCTTGCTGAATATCTCCTTGATGTCGAGTGCAGCGACGTACAGCATGCCCGTCTTCTTATTCACCCATTCCACCTTTGCCTTGACCTGCGTAGCACCCTGTTCGTGTTCGCCGGTGAATGGGAACGGGTTCCGAAAAACAGCGAACGCGGACGTTTTTTTTTTTTTTTTTTTTTTTTAAATGGGTCGGGGGGGCATAGGTGGTGTCCCTGAGCCCCCCCGGTGTCTGCAGATCCAAAGATGATGTGGTGGTGGGGGGGGGGAGGGCTCTCTGTTCTGCAATGGTGCTGGCCCCCACCAGATCCACCGCATCCCCCCCCGCACCCCCCCGATCGGTCACAGTCTGTGTGCTGCCCCCCTCCAGCCACACATATGTGACAGACTCTGTCGCAGTCTGTCACAATCAGTCTGTTGGGCAGCACACACAGACTGTGACAGACAGTCTGTCACATGTGTGGCACACACAGACTGTGACAGACGGTCTGTCACATATGTGTGGCACACACAGACTGCGACAGACAGTCTGTCACATATGTGTGGCACACAGACTGTGCCCAACAGACATTGCAGCACACAGACTGGTGGGGGCCAGCTCACACACTGTCTGTCACAGCCTCTCACAGTCTGTGTGACCGACAGTCTGTCACAGTCTGGTGGGCAGCACACACACAGTGTGACAGAGACTGTGTGCCCCCTACCCGACAGACTCTGTCACAGTCTGTGCGCTGCCCACCAGATTGTGGCAGAGTCTGTCACATAGACTGTGACAGACTGTTTGACACACACACACATACACACATACACTTGTTGCACTCACACACACATCAACGTGGCCAGCCTTGTACGTGATAGGCACAGTAAGAGGGTAACTGCAAAAACAAAGAATATGGGAGGCCTCCCAATGCTGGCTGATGAAAAAATACCCCTACCCGACAGACTCTGTCACAGTCTGTGCGCTGCCCACCAGATTGTGACAGAGTCTGTCACATAGACTGTGACAGACT